TTATATTTACATGTAAACTTTGGTTGTGTGTAATGGATATCATACTGCTTGTTATGTAGTCTGTTCTTCTCAATTCAGTTTTTCACAGTGGAATAAATGCACTTAAGATCAAGTGCGGAGGGAACACATTCTGCCTGGAAAGGCATGCGTATTTTCTATGAAATTAGCATACAAGCATAAACATACAGTTTATGCGCCACGTACATGGAAAAACACAGAATGTTTTTCTCTGCATCATGCATATAACTTTAAGGGAGGATTGAGCACAAAGAAAAAGTGAAAAAGTGATAACAAAAGCAAAATATGTGGAGATGTGCAGCTTGTTACATATTCCATTCAGTTTACTAAAGTTTGGGAAACTAGTAGCATCTACTTTTACATTAAATTTCCTGCCTCTTGAACAAATGGCCCTGAAATTAATAAGTAGAATGTATTGTTTATTGTTTTTTCTTTCTATTTTGTAAGTTTGAATGTTCTGCACTCACACTGGCGCACTGCTACGCAGAGAAAATGCCATCACAAACAGTATTTTGAATTCTTAATTATACTTTAATATTTAGTCCTCCCAAGGTTTGGCTTTTCTGTCCATTTTTTATTCAATTTTTAGCACACTAGAACTTTCGCTCTTATTTGTATTTTTTATTTTCTTTAAATTACATACTCGTGTAAAGAAGACGCATAAAAAATGGTAACAGAGTTATAATTTTATTTTTAGACAGTGTAACTCAAAGCCACAGACACTGGGCAACAGCCCATTCTACTAATAAGTTGAAAAGCACATGTAAATTAGTGAATCTCAGAGGCGTTTTGTTGGAGACTTCCTTTCACAATGGCAGCAGTCACGGTAGCTATAGAAGAAGAAGACTGAAGGCCTGAAGACTGAAAAAAAGTTTACCAAAGACATTGTCTCAACCGTCCAGACGCTCTCTCTAGAATTCACTTAGTAAATCCTACAACACTGACTTTCTGTGATGTTATTTCCCAAATTCACCTCTCTGGAATATTTTTCATTTTATTTATTCACGCTGTATAACAAGTTCATGAACCAGCACCCAGACAACATACCCAGCCATAGACCTGCACTGATGACCGATCCTTTATTTGCACTTCAGTTTGCACTTTCTAAAAGCAAACAAAACATAAAGAAATAAACTGGTGGCAGACCACTCCTTTCCAACACTAAACCATGCCCCCATCTACTACACACTACTATGTCTCTATCACTCCATTTGCATTTTCTCTTTTGCACCTGTTGTTTGCCACTCTATCACTGACAGTTACTATTATTTCATTGAGTCTTTTAAATGCTGCACCTCACAAGCATTGCACAGTTTGTGTGATTAACTGCAGCTTTAGCTAAGTAAACTGAGCGTTAATTTAGACAAGCGCATGTTGTGGCTGTTATGTGAACGTTTTATGCTTCGTCTTCTCACGTATGTACATCTGGCCCTAAGACTGTAATCTTAGTCATACGTGAAGGAAACCCTACAGCTGATCTCGGACCGAAGATCTCAGACTGAAAGGCCTCAGTGTGTAGTCGCTGCTGCCTGTGTGTGAGAGGGATTTGGGCAGAATTCTGATAGGCTGTGGCAGTGCTGGCCTGTAGGCCAGAGGGGTGAGCTTTATTAAAATCAATCAATGCCTCCTACAAAGTCCCACTCTGCTTCTCTCTCAGCGCAGCCAGCCAATTAACCTCCCTCCCCTTTAAAACAGAGCCATTGTTATGCAGGCATACCCTATGAAGTGTGTGGGGAGAGAGAGAGTGACAGGGAGGAAGAATGAAGGAGAGAAAGAGACTGAGGGAGAGAGAGAGAGGGAGAAAAGAGAGAGAGAGAGAGAGAGAAAGCGCGAGAGGGGGTGGGAAAGGTAGAGAGAGAAGTAGAAAAAAGAAAGTGAGAGAAAGATAGACTGAGGGAGAAAGAGTCAGAGAGAAAAGAGGGAGTGAGCGAGAAACAGAGAGAAGAGGAAGTGAGCAAGAAACAGAGATAAAGAGAAGAGAGAGTAAACAAGAAAGAGAAAAGCAGAGAGGAGGGAGTGAGTGAAAAGCAGAGGGAAAGAGAGAGAAGAGGCAGAGAAAAGAGGAAGCAAGCTGTGAAAAAAAGTGATTCTGATTCTGAAACAGAAAGAAGAGGAAAAAACAGAGGAAGAGAGAGAAGAGGAAGTGAGAGAGAGAGAGAGAGAGAGAGAAAGAGAGAGAGAGTGTGTGTGTGTGTGTCTGGGTTTGATGGAATGTGTGTGAAGGAGAGAGTGAGAGAGAACCTTTGTGCATACAAATATGAATTGTGTGTGTGTGAGTGTGTGTGTGTGGTTGTATACACTGAAGTGTTGTGCGGTGAAGAAAAGTCACTGGAGAGCCATCAGAAAGTCTGCACTGATGAGCAGGTCCTGCTGCCAATTAAAGTGGAACATTACAGAAATAACAATTAGGAGAGCTGCAGATAAAAGCGCTTGGCAGCAGACGCTCAGTTCCTTTCTCTCTCTCGCTCTTTCTCCGCTTTATTGCGTGAGACATTAGACGGCCTTACATCAGGTCCTCTGGGGCAGGAGGGGGCGCCGTTACAGGGTGCAGGGCTGGGGAGCAAGTGAGGAAGGAATAGAGATGGTGACTAAATGTGGAAAAGGAGACGTTGCTGCTATGTTTGAATGTGTTTATAATTCACATGATTTACTTGTGGCATAACCAGCTGCCTTTGTACGCCCTGTCTATCGGTGGTGGTCTTATCCACAGAGGGTCGGTGTGGCAGCAGGTTTTCATTCCAAACAAGCAGGAGCACACATGACTCCAGCTGTTTAATCAATTGGTCTCAGTCTTCAAACAACTGATCATATGTGCTCTTTCTTTGTTGGAATGAAAACCTGAAGCCACACCGGCCCTTTGTGGATAAGACTGGACACTTGTTCTCTAGCCAACTCTGTTCATTTCGCCAAGATTGAATGCTTGCTTCAGGCTTTGTAGTATTTTAACACTTTAAATGGCCAGGCCAGCCAGCAGGTCCAGACTTCCATTCCTCACTTCTATAACGCAAGTATAACTCAACCAGACTGCATTGTTTTCCCATGTATTTACTGAATAATGAGTCTTAGACTGTAATATGCCTTGGAATTTAAGGGGTTTCCATGTGCTCCAGGTGGGAAGATGCACATAACGCTGGTATGACTTGATACAAACACTACTTCTGCTCATCCCTAAGGAATTTGATGGAGTTCTATTCCAGAGAACGCAGTTCTACTGCCCCACAGCCCAATACTGAGGTGCCTCATACCCCTCTAGCCAAGGCTTGGCATTGGACAATCTTGGACAAATGCAATTGATTGCCATTAATTACAAATAGAAATGTGAGTAATCACAATAAATTATTTCAATTGTTTGACAGCCTTAGGTATCACTATTTTTGTGAAATAAACCACACTAATAGTCTAAGTTTAAAATAACTATCCACAACAAAATAATGTAAAATATAAAATGAAATGTTCATTGCACGTCATATATAGTAAATTCATCTATCACCATTTTTTCAAGCTTTGCTGTGCACCTCGAACACGTTGAAGCCACTGTCATCTATGAATGAATGTGTTTTCCCAAGTCAGAAGTTCCTTGTGTTCTGCGCTCCTCATTAGCATTAGTCTTAACTCCCCGCCAGGCAGTCTGACCCACATTAGTGTCTATTCATCTGAAACTGGCCTCTCATCCTGTCCCCAGCAGAAAAACTGTGACTATTGTGCTAGTTTCAGTTTGCTCCTCTTTTTGTCCTCGTCCTCTCTTAGTCTTGTTGTCTTGGTTTGGATAGAAGGTCAGAGTTTGAGAAGTTGGTTTTTCCATATTTAAAGCTTTCTTGTGTGAGATGGTTGAGCTGTTAAGAGTGAAATTAATTAACATTTAAAATGTTTTATCTGAGTTATGGATAAATGTCATGTCACAAAGCTACGCTGTGTGAGACTTACTCTGGATGATAATGTCATTCTTTTATATAAAAATCATAATGCATGATGTGGCAGATGTTCAGTGCTTAGGAGTTTCCTGTTGGTAAGGAGATTTCTGTGTTAGACAGGACTGGGGCTGTCCCAGACTAAGGATCTTTGTGGTCGACCAATAGGCCTGATTTTCAAACAAATGTCAACTAAATCACCTTACCCCCCCTCCCCGCCCATCCCTGAAAAAATGGCTATTAAATTGTATTGTAATATGTAGGGCTGAACGCTTAGGGGCAAAATATCTAATGGCAATTTTTCAGACCAGTATTGCAAATTATTTTCTATAAATTAAGTTACAGGCCTAAATAGACCAGCACATCCATGTTTTCGGAGGTTTGAAAGCTGAATATATTGTGGCAGACTGCAAGATCACCAGCTCTGCCTTATTAGATTAAATTTCCCCACATAAAACTTGCTAAAACAATGTTGAGCAAGAGGATAAGATGTAAGATGTAATTAAAACTCCAGCTCTTGTGATCTGAAAATTGCACTCTTTCAAATTGTGGTTCTGATATAAATCGATTAATTGTTTAGCCCTTATGGTAAGTGAAATTATGTTTGTACAGTTTACATTCCACCATCTTGAAATCATATTTACAAATTTTAAAGTGCAGTATTTTTTTTTTTTTAGTAGTTGCTTCTGTCTTGGTCTTGGTCATCTTTCCATCAGTGCACAACTGATGCACTTGAATAATACATTCAACAAAATAGAGTGATACTTAAACTTACACAAAAACTCACTAGCTGCACAGTCCAAAATATCCATATGTAGTAATGTCTACAAATTTGAACTACAATTCACTCATACATTGGACAAACACATATATATAAATAAATAAATACATACAAAAATGCAACATCTTGGTTGACCAAGAACACTACCACATATTGGTCAACTAGTTGACTTGGAGAGGCCCTAGATGTTCCCACAACAGTTGACCCCCTAAAGTGTGTTTCTGTATATATTGTAATTTTAGAGTGCTGTAAGTACTAACAGTAGTGTGATTTTTTTTTTCTTTTGTTTTCAGACAGCCAGCTTCTTCCTGGGAATAACTTTACCACTGAGTGTAACATCCCGGGAAACTTCATGTGTGGGGATGGACTGTGTATCCCTGGGAGCTGGCAGTGTGACGGTTTTCCAGACTGCTTCGATAAGAGTGACGAGAAGGGTTGTCGTAAGTCACTCTTTTGTTTATTTAGTTTTTCTTTTCAGGTGTAAGAAGAGCACATGCAAGTCTAGAGCTGGGACATATTTAATGTCGTCAAAGCTGTATGTGAATATACCAGATATATAGGACTAGTTGTTACTGTAATGCACCAGTAATAACAGATAGCGCTGGCTGCCACAGGCAAAATGTTTGCTTTGATCCTTCTTGGCTCTCTCTCGTTGTCTTTCTCTCTGTCTCTTTCTGTCTCTCTCTCTCTTAGCTTCTCCACTCCAGGCATAGATGGTAATGTTGATAAGGCATCACTTTGTATCTTTGCCATGGTGAAATGCGTTGCCCTTCGGAAAGTCCCGCATCTATCTGTATCCTCTTCTCTCCGTCAGGGGTTTCCCCCTGCTCTTCCCTCAAAATAAACGCAATCCTCTTTGCACTCATCTTTCTCATCTTTCAACATTCGTTCTTCTTTCTTTCTCTTGGTATGGTTTTAATTAAGCAGCGTGCTGGTGGCGTGATGTTGGAGAGGAGTGGAGTGGGTCTGTGCCAAACCCCCGCTGGCCCCGCGCTCATTTACTGAGACAGGGAGACGCCTCTCGAGGGTCTGTTGTGTTGCAGTCGCCTGTAGCCACCTCCCTCTCTCTCTCTTTCTCACCCTCACTCTATCTATCTCTGTCTGTAACTGAACCCTGTGGAGTCTGTGGCTCGCGCCCACGTGCTCTGCCTCACACGCTGCAGTAGGGATGGGTGTTTTAACCATTAATGATATTCAAATATCCAAGCTAGCATAAAAAGTGATTGGAAACAATTAAGTCTGTAATTATTTAAATGGTTAACATGTAAACAGAGTCATTCACGGTGGTTTAATTTGAAATGCTTCTGTCTGGAAAAGCTTACCAAGTGAGAATTATTCGCAGTGGTGGTGATGGGAACCAGACGTCTCAAGTGTTCAATGCTTTTAAAAGCTTACTGAACTTACAGAAAGTTATTACATAAAATGGTCATAAATATGCTGCCTAAAAATCCATTCATGGCAGAGATGTGCATGCAGTAGTAGGTGATATACAGGTTCATCCGGTTTACCGGTCAAATTCTTCCTCAAATATGTGTTTTGTCATAATCATTATATCAGTGTGTCGCAAATAAGCACAGCTAACTCAACATACAACCATGCTAACGCTATCCCATTTGGCTGAATGGCTGAATCATTGATGTTTCAGTCACATTTTCAATTTAAAAATGTAAACGCATTAGTTAACTTTGTCTTTGAGGCAGCAGACATAAGGTAAGCATAGGATTAGCCTTGGCTGAACATGGACACCAGACTGCCACTGTTCTGCCACCTGAGAAGCTGCCTAACTTGGTCATCTGCATCAGATGACTCTGTGATCAGAGCCTTGTATGCAAAACAGCTGGTAGTGAAGCATGAATGACTAATATTTTCAAAACTCCTGCGATGTCTGACGGTCGGCGATATGAGGATATGGGACATACATATGAGACAAATGACTTGAGAAATTCAGCGAAGCTGAAATTGGCTTCTTATTTGAATTTATGAATTTCAAAGGGGGACAGTAAATTGGAACAAAAAGCTGGTGAATAAGAAGCCAACTTCCTCCTTGAAGAAACTCAGACAAGAAACAACATTCAGCACTATTTGCCAGACCTGCTAGTGTTAGAGAGCAATATCGACATGGGTTTTTAATATTTATTAAATATTGTTCAGTTTTGTTTTTACCATTATGCACAAGAAAAATATTTCAGATTTACTTTGGTTGTTTAAAATGTTTCTTTTGTACTGTTAGCCTACACAAATAGCTTTACTTAAGCATCTGGAATGATTTTGAGTATATATGTATAAGTACACACACACATACACACACAACGTGATATATACCAAGACCATCAGAAATTTTAAGTTTATTGTCATATAATTTTTGCCAATATTGCTAACTACTACATGTAGGGCATTGGAAGGCAATATAGTCCCCATGTTTTTTTTATGATTGACCATTATTTTACCATTTTCAGCACTACATATAAAAACTCAGAAGACACGTGTAGGTTTACTGTTCATTTTGGATAGTAAATAAAATGGCTATACTTGCATTGTATACATCACGACCCCTGGTTCCTATCACCACCACTGTAAATAAATCCATCTATTTCTGTGATGCACCATTTGATTTTGTTGTCATCTCTACAGTTGAAGGCTGTGGATTTCTCCTTTAACATGCCACCAGTTGACCTACAGAACAATAACTAAAAGATTTACAACTTTAAACTGTACAGATGTCTTATTTTTGTTTGGAATATTTCCATATGTAGCATAAAGAGTGCTTGGATGTCATCATATTAGCTACTTGTGTTCCTACATACTCTTCAGTTCTGTGTCAAACCCTCAGATATAGTACCTAATTTATTTCATTTTTTCCAGTGGGAAGTCCTCTAAACAATGCTTATAGATATGCAGTGCAATAAGTGTATGTGTATTAGAAACAATGCATCCTGGATATCCGTATATTCAAGTTACCAAGCTCATCCCCTCTCTAGTGTGGCAGACTGCCTCAATTCAGCTTTCTGTCAAAGCATGCAAAATGGGGCCTGTCTGTCACAATGGCACACAGCAACACTTTATGAGTGTGCAGTTTTTCCCTCCACACCCTTGTTTTTGCCCCCCGGGAGATGCCTGCTTAGGCCAAAAGCCAAACCCTTGGTTCCCCTGGGTCCTCCAGTACGCTGTGGGCTGGCTTGGCTTTTTCGTGGCCTTTTACTGGTATGCTAGAGTCTCTCCAGTGCTGATGTTAACACTCTCTGTGTGTATTTTGGTATTCTGCTCTCACCCGTGATTGCAGAGAAGCCTGTAAAGATTTGTGGTGTACTCTGGGGCTTTGCCTGACGTGTTTATTTGGCCATCAAGCCACAGACTGAGGATGATGTGTGAATTTCTTCCCTCCATCAGAAACACTGATTTTTTTTCCTTTGGTTGTTCCTTCCAACTTCCTCAGAGACTTAATTCTAAGCGAGTCCAGGATATTGCATAGATATTGTATCTGTGTTCTCAACCACCCACAAATAGATTGTTATTAGACGCTGAGTACCTCGAATGAACGCTTCTCTAAAGCCTATTTACAATTATCTGCAAAGTAAAAGGCGATCCTAAGAGACAAGACTTGCTCTGTTTGCTTTGTAATGGAAAGTTCTGTATTGTCTGCTTCTGTGTTATGACTGGTACTGAGGAGATGTTTGGAGATGTTCAGGTAATCTTCAGTTTTCCATGCACTGGTGACTCAGGACACAGATAAGCAAAGGCCATGCCGACATCAGTCATTCTTATCGTCCTTGCTTTGTGGCTTTTTACCCTGGCCTTTCGCCCTGTGGGAAATCTACTGGAGTGTAAAGCCCCTGAGTTCAAGAGCACAGCCTGTGGCGACCGGATTTCCAATGTAGCTTTTCATTTGCAAATGCTTCAGACATGGGAGTAAACTACAATAGCCATTCAATCACACAAAAAAACTGCTACTTCTCCCCAACACCAGGGATGAGGCTACAGCCACAAACGCCTCTCCCTGAGGGAAGACCGTTAGCCAGGCCGGGGAAAAAAATGTATCAGAGGAGGGAGAGAAAGAAGAAAAACAGATTGGCTCCCGAGTGGAAACGAGGTTACACCTGTCTGTTTATCCACTCTCTGATTAACAAGCAGTTCCTGCGCTCACGCACACCCGCCTTTGACACAAAAGCTTTTCATGTTTTGCCCCGCCATTAGCAGAGGTGCATCTGTAGCTCTTTGTGTAATGAATACATTGAGTTCACTTTTGATGGGCAGCTGAAATACTCGGAGGGCTTGTTAATAATCACTTCTGCCTGGTTTTGGGTCAGTGACTCGCCTGTTTGTCCCTTCGCAACAGCGCCACACAATTAGTGGCAGAGACAGATGAGAAAGTCTTTTGCACAAATTGGGATATTTATGCTGCGCTGAAACAAAAGTAAAGGTCAAAGCCAATCGAAGTCTCTCCTACCTCATTAATGAGAATTTGTTTTTGGAAATAACACAGCCAAGGGGAATGGGCAAAATTGCAGCTACCTTGGGTCTTGTACCGGTCAAAATTTTGGACACACTTGTTCATCAAGGTTTTTTTTTTCCTTTTTGTTTCACATTTTAGGATAATAGTGAAGACTTCATATCTATGAAATAACACATGGGGAGTTATGGAGTCACCAGAAATGTCTTTAAAAAGTAAAAACATTTCTTAAGTCTTATATCTTAGATGCCTTAAAGTAGCCTCTCTTTGCCTTGATGCAGTTTTACACACTCTTGGCATTCTCTCAAGCAGCTTCATTGAGGAGCCACCTGGGATGCTTTCTAACAAGCTTTAAAAAGTTCTACATATGCTGAGACCTTGTTGGCTTCTGACAACTGCTTGTTGGGGAGCAGTTCAAAAATCTCTCTTTCTCTCCTATTCATACATAACGGTCAAAATCAGATTTTACTTGTGTCCTAGAAACAAAGTAAAAGCATTCAAGCATAGGCTTTTAGATCTAAATATCCCTAAGATGATTAAAAACATCCATCCAAATGTTTGTTACTGTACACCAAAGTTGGGGCTTGGAGTCGCTGCTTAACTTGCTTACATCTCAACTCTGACTGCCTTTCAGTTTTATTATCATGCAGTGTTGGGTTTTTGAGGACATGGTTATGAGTATTGAATTTTACATTATTACATTGGCAACTATACTCACTGCAGCAATGCAAAATGCTCTCTCAAAATGCACTCTCAGTTATTTGGTTTAATAAGTGAACGATCTGCCATAAAAGCCAAGTACTTCATCCCCATTCCAGTTCTACTCATCCTCTTGAAAAATGAAAAGAAATTACCTTTAGAGTGACAGGAAAGTTGAACTCCCTCTGGAACTAGTTATGGGAAAAGCTATTCCAGTACCAATACCACTACTAAAACTGTGTTATTAATACAGCTAGCTGTGTATGTATGTGTGTACGTGTGTGTGTATAAATA